GGACTGCTTGAATAATTCACTTGAATCAGAAAATGGCGCATTCAAAGTTTTTGCCGCATCGCACAGAGCGCAATGAATTCAATCTTGTGTATCATTTTTGGCGGAGGAACGAGATTCTTCAAAAGCAGTTCGTAATTTGAGAAAACAGTTGTTTGCACTCACACGTAGCCTTTTGTATGAGTTCGCAGCAAGTTTACTTAAAGCGTGTCATTGTGGTCTCCCAAGTTCAAATTACTTCCTAGACAAGAGTCTAGCATCCCTTGAGGAAATCTAGTGAAGCTATAATTATGAAAGGGGTAATAATTTGTTTTACCGTTGAGAGTTTCGATTTCGTAAAGTTAATGTGAGCGGAGTTTTTGAGGCTTACAAAATGTTACAACACTCTCTGCACGCAAGCTACATCAGAAGAACATGCGCTATGGAACCGTGTGTGCACGTTCGTAGGCTCCACCGTGGCCCTCGACGATCATGGAGCATTCACGCGTTCTCTGAAAGGCTGGTCGGGATGCGAACTTCCACTTCCATGCTACTGTTCCTTAGAAGCAACTTACTAGTATTCCGATTAAAGAAATCCCATCGCGCTTGCAGCTGTAAAACGATTTATCAATCAGCTGCTTACAAGGGAAGGATGGTAGGTCGAAGTGGCCGTGAAATGAGATGTATACCACCTGATGCGTCTCCAGACGCTGATTCCAAATCTGCCTTCCAAATCTGCTAAACGACTCTCGCCAACGGAGTTACGAGCAGGGGTCAAGCGTGCGTTGAGGAATCCTCGACACGTCGCAGGGGGGGGGGTCGTATTGGCCCGCTGGGTGGAAGAGATCGAGCCATTTTGATGCAGTGGGATCATCACCGTCGGAAGACAAATATCAAGGATGAGTCGATGCCAGGCCAGAGGATTTCCAATGAAAATGATATTTCACCCACACAAAATTTTCGTGATTCTGAGGCGTCCGGTAATTCTTAGTTACTTCAGTGTTTTATCACCACACAAGTTAAAGAATCTGAATTTCGCACGCTTTCCAAGAGATATTTCATCTTTCAAGTAAGACCCCGAATCTGAAGGGATGTGAGGTACACGGCGCATCCGAGAAAGGGTCTAGTTGTTGCGCGCGCTTCAACTACGGCTCCTTGGACAAACAACCTCAATTCAGGAACAATCGAGAGAATTCTGAAAGTGTCCGTGCGCATTTACAGGGAGGTGTACACCATTCAACATTGCGTTAACGGACTCTTCAGGGTTAAATTTATAAACATGTAACCTTTAAAGTTGAGAAACGCTAATCAATCACTTTTCTTAGAAAGAGAAAAGCAGTGATTCCAAATCTGCTCTTACTTTAGTACATAATCGCCCTTAAAAGGATATACAGCCGTTGAAATAGTGCCAATGTAGCGAAAAAGTACCTTTCGGCGGTACTCGTGCGAAAATCCTCAACGTAGCCGTTTTTTTAATACTGGACGTTTGGAGCAGTTCTAACAACCGTTTGATAGAGCAAATCTTCTAGTTTTGTCTGTCATATTAATTTTTCGAATTTGACGAAAATGAAGCAAGATGTT